AGTCAATTCGAAATCCCTTTTTAGTTGAGTTACTGAATTTTCTCGATAAGTCAGTTGTATTGTCAGACGAAAAAACATTTAGAACAACTTGTTTTTATGAATTGTACGATAGAGAACTACGAGATCTCAAAAAAAGAATTAAAGAAGATGTCGTTTTCAATAATCTATCAGGATCTATTTCAACAGATATCATGAGTAAATATAATAATTCTTATATAACAACAACTCTCCACTATGTCGATAAACAATTTGAGTCACACAACGAAGTTTTGAATGTGAGTCCTTTTAATGTAGAACATACAGGAAAGGAAATTAAAACATATGTGAGTCAAATTGTTACCGATTTAAATTTGAATGTTAACAACATACAATTTGTTGCTGATTCGGCATCAAATAACAATAAATTGTCTGAAATTAATGGAAACAAAACTGACTGTGTTGCACACACATCGAATAATTTGTTTTCTGCTGTGATAAAACAAATACCCGGGATGAAAGCCTTCATGAAAAATATAAATTCTTTGGCCAAAACACTCCAATTTTCTCAAAAAACACAAAGAATATTTGAAGAGTTGTGTTCAAAAAATTGTGAAGAGCCTGGATGTCTTGCGACTTATACGAAAACGCGGTTTAATTCATGTTACCTTTCTTTTAGCAAATTGTTAAAAAGAGAGAAGAGTGTTAAAGAACTGAACAATGGGATTCAGTTCAATGAAGAGGGGTGGAAAGGGGCCAAAGAAATGTATTCACTCACAAAAGCAATGGACGATCTTTACAACAAATTGGCGGCGAACCAAAAAATTACTTCGTGTTATGTTGTGGGAGCTATTAGAGACATTTGGAATACAATTTCCTCTTCTATTTACTAACCGGAAGGTTTTCTAAAAAATATATTAAAACATAGTGAAATAGATGAAGATTATGAAGAAGAATCGGAAAGTGGTTTTATGGAAATTGAAGCTGGGACTATTTTTGGAAAGGACTGGAAAATGATAGCTCGATCTGAATTCGAAAAAAGACTGCGCGCTATTTCTCAAAAAGAAGAATATATATTTTAGCAGCTTTCTTTTTTCCTATTACTCGTGATGGTGATTTGTTTGAAACACAAATCAATACCTGTGTTCAAAGAGTGAAGGCTGAATTGAGTGGCATAAGTAATATAACACCACAAAGTAGTTCCGCTTTTTTAAATTCGAGTTCACATTTTCATATTGAATTTGCCAATTGGGCAATTCCAATGATGACAACTGATGCAGTACAAAGACGAGAAGAATCACCAATTGATAAAGCAATTAGATTGTATTTAGAAGATCATGGTGCGATAGAAAACGGAGAAAACTGTAAAAGTCCCGAAAGATATTGGCAAAACTGTATTAAACTAAACAACACGCCGATTATATGATATTGCCAGAAGTATCTCTCTTTTCACCCAACAGCATAGACTCAGAAAGAGTTTTTCGAATGTCGGTAAAATAGTCTATAATGAAAATTCGTCGTTTACCCCAGAAAACGCCTCGAAAGTGTCTTTTTTGAGACTACAGATAAACAAACAACACCAATAATAAACAGATTAAATGGTTTGGAGTCAAGTATGGTTGATTATTCTTCATAGATCTCAATGGTTGTGGCCTTAGCGAGATAAAACCTTGGATGATCTCTTTGATGAGCACTAACTCAACACTATACACGAGACACTTCAACATCAAAGACGCTGTTCGAACAGACTTGACTGTGTTACATTTTCTTTTTGCAGCACTTCCATGTAGAGTTTCGAAGAGTGATGGGAAATACAGTACGGTTTGATATCGGCGCTTGGGAAATACCAAGAGAATCTGCAACAGTTAAGTCACTAATGATGTCACAAAAATAGACCCAATGATTACATCAAACCGATGGTTTTTGATTGTTGTTGCACATAATGCATCCATGTAATATGTCTCGTTTCAACATGGCATAATTTTATACAAGCACAATATACAAATCATTGAATTGTATATTTAGCCCCCATATGATTGGTGTTGGATGATAACAATAAATGTGTTTCAAAAACGATTTCATTGAGCATTAAAAGAGCAATAAACTGCGAATCCAATCGAATGGTATTCAAGACTGAAGGAAATTACATTGACTTTCCAGTCGACGAATTCAAAGTGTAACAGAGTGTCAGTATGAAGTGTTCCAATCTGTTTTATGGGTGTTATTCATGTGACCACAAACAGAATTCAACAATTGATATTGATGTTTTGGAGTTTTCTGGCTGCCAGAGTGGCGTGGAGTTTGAGTCTCGAAAAACAAAGAAATGATCGACAACAACAAATTTGATAGATAACGAGGGATACAGAATCGAGTGTACTACAAGTTGTTCGACTTGTACAACAAGAACAAATAATCAACACATAAAATCATTTGAGTATAGGGCTCATTTAGATTCAACACTGTCATATGAGAACCACAAATACTGTCAGAAGTACCAAATTGGTTTGGATGTATAGAATGTTTCGATTCAATCAACTTAAATGGTGTTTGTTCAATAGTTGAAACGACCACAAAAATGTTCCTTTTATTTAGATAGTTACAACACAATTAAATGTGAAAAAAACATCGAACATTCACAAACAAAAACATATACAACTTTATGGAGTGATGATGTTGGATGTGAGGCATTATTAAAAGGACTGTGTATAAAATGTTATTCGAAATACTTTTTGAACAAAGTATATCCACCACAATGCGAGTTGTGTGGAGATAATTGTCTGACTTGCACAACACCGACTACGTGTTATATATTCTCAAATGGGTTTTCTCTTGTTAATGGAAGTTGTGTTTTACTATCAAATTGTTTTGTGTCAACGCCAAGTGGATGTACTGTGTGTAATAAAGGTTATTATCTAATTCTCGGCTCATGCAAAATGTTAAGTGAAATTCACTACAAATCTGTTGTTATGATAACAAATATTTGAGGTGCAATGTATGTTATGTAAAAACAACTATATTTTAAGTGACACACAATGTGTTGACATGTCTACTGCGCGTTGCCAAAGTGTCGACTTATCAACTTCAAAATGTGCAATTTGTGAAGAATAGTTCAAATTTGATGACAAAAAAATGTGTTTCAATGGAAACAATGCTATGCTCGTATACATCATCAGGTAATTGCCTTCATTATGATTTACAAATCTCACTTAGAACTTCCAATGAGGGTGTATTGGTTTGCAATACAGAAGTGAAGACTGTGTACTGCAAAGAAAACAGCAATACGGGGTGAACCAATTGTTATGACGTATATTATCTAAGTGGTACTGAATGTCTTCCATATGATAGGAAGTGTCCAAGTTGTGTTGGCAATGTTTCAACACATGCAAAGTGTAACGTGAAAGGTGGGTATTACCAATATGTCGAATTTACAACAATAAAAGACAAGAAGTGTGTCATCAATACAACACTTGACACTGTAAATTGGTTTCAGAATATGGGTTTGCGGTGTGTCTCGATGGTATTATCAAAACAAATATTAAAAATGCCCAAAGTGTGTTAAATTGCGTGCGACTTGTTCAGACAATAACACGTGCTCTTTATGTATTAATCTATATGTTTTGATATCAAAATAGTTACAATGTGTGAAATGGAATTCAATTGCAATAGTAAATCGTATGATCCAAAAACACGACAATGCAGTGAGCGCAGTGTAAGCAACAAATTTGGACCAAGTGGAGACGAGTGTGTTCACAAGACAAATGTACTCTCAATTATACTTCCAATCATTTTTGGTATTTTTATAGTTGTTATTATTATAACAATAAGTTGTATACTTTTTTGTATTCATTACAGAAAAGAAGAGAAGTTAAGGAAGTCACTTGTCAAAGAATTTTTGTTGAAAGATTTAAAAAAGAAAGAAGTTGATATCATATATATTGGCACTCAAAAAACGCATTTTGAAGGCGAAATTGCAGTTCAGAAAGACGGCGAATGCAAATTTATGATTGGCAACGACAGAACGTCTTTATTGAAAATTCAATTCACAACACAAAATGACAAGGAAAAGTTTGAGTTGAATGTTAAACCTTCCATACCAGTGAGTATCAAGAAAGGTCGTGCTGTTGAATTTACTGTTGCTGTCCATCCGCTGTGTACACTTTAAAAGACTGTTGACATCACTTGTTCAGTCTTAAACATCAACAAAGGCAAAATATCAGAGATAAAAATTCCAGTCAAATTTGCGTCAGAAATGTCGACAGCACTTGACCCAGACGAGTTGAAAAAAGTTCGAAAACTCAGAGAAGGAAGCTTTGGGATTGTGTTCAAAGGAACATATCGAGGAAATGTTGTTGCCATCAAAGAGATGAAGGAAATGGTTGTCGCCACTTAAAAAGCAAAAGGTTTTACAAAGAATTTGATTGTTGAAAGTTCAAGTCGAATTAACTGTGTCTATCAACCAGGTAATAATACTATTATGTATTATAATTTTAATTATAAATTGACCTAATTCATATACGTTTTTTAACAAGAATTTAACTATTAATTATAATTAATAAAACAAGCTGTTTAAATTATTTTTACAATACATCACAACTTGTTCAAAATGTATTTTATAAATTGGTTTGAAAACAATTATTTTGGTTTTTCTTTTTTGAAAAATTTGATATGTCTTTTTTTTCCTTATTGATCATAATAATTTTTTTGAGACAGTTTTGTGTTTTATATTTTAAACAAAGACATTATTAGGTTTTGTTTCTTTCGGTTCTTTAAATGAGCTGTTTTGGATTATTAACTATTTTTGAAACAAAAAGTAGCTACCCCTTTTTAAGTTTTTGAATCGGTTTTATCTTCGGTTTTTGGTTGTGAAAAAATTGGTGTCTGCATTCTGATAAAACCCAACCAAAATTCGGCAAAATTACCAAGTTGGTCATTCGGACCCTAGGTATATTATTGACATTGAATTAAACTATTCAATGATGTTTTAAACTTTGTTTGGTTGACTAAATTACATTTATAACGTTTAAACAAAATTTATGTAAAAAATCAAAAACTTTAAATATAAATGAAACTTTAATATAATGGTATTTAAAAAAAAATATAAATTTTCAAATTTTAATAAAAATAACAATCAAAAGTTAATTATGTTCAACATTTTGTATGTTTACTTTATGTTTTTTCAATTGATGAATAAAATGAATTTGTTTTATATATATATTACACAATAAAAGTTTTTATCATTTTGTTGATTATCATAGTTTTTTAAAATTACAATTCCAATTACCCACGTCATTTTTTTATAACCAAAATGTTTATTTCTTTTGTTAATCCTTACGTTACAATACCACAATTTCTGCGATAATTATTTAAGAAACCAATGTTGATAATTATCGGTTTCATTTATTTATTCAATAAAACTAAAAATAAAAATAAAGATTTAAAAGTTTCAAATAATAAAAATGATTTTTGATAATTGTTCATTATAAATACACAAAAAATTATGAATAATATTTGTAATATAATTAGTTTTTACTCATTTAAAAAATCTTTCGTTTTTTATTTTGAAATAATTTATTGATATTTTTTCAATATCAATAAATTGTTCAAAAATAATCATTTTAAATTAAATAAATTTTAATAAATTGTTTATTCTTCGGTTGTTACACAAATCAATTTTAAACATTGATATCAAAATTTGTCTGGTCGAATTGTTTAATTATTAAAATAGACATAGTGTTTAATAAAAATATTTATTGTGTTTGTTTTAGATATTTTTATTTTATAAAGTAGAATCTTAAATAACATTGGAATTGTTTTATATTTTACAAAATAAGACTAACTTGATATTGATTAAGTTGTAAATTTTATAACAAATTTGAAAACAACAAAACTCAAATTCAATAAATTAACAACATAATTAAAATGTATGAACAAAAAAGACAGTATCAAAATACATACAAAATGTGCGTTTTTTTGATTTTGTAACTTGTATATAATAAATTGATAAGTATGCAACATATAAAGTTTGAAATCACATACTGAACAACAGGAAATAAATTAAAAAGTTAACTTCGAAGTAATCACAAATTTTGGTTTATGATATGTAAAGACAAATATTTATCATCATATTAAATGGGTGTGAGTTGTAATAGTAAGTGTCATTATTTAATGTTTGTAACTTTTTGTTTTGTCTTTGGAATATAGATTAAAATTTTCTCAATTAATTACAATTTGTGTAACAAATATTTTTGAGATATTTGCACATGATAAGTTACATTGTGTTAATATGTTTAATGTACTAATCGGTATATTATTTTTAAATAATACAATGAAAAATGTGACATTTACAAATAATATTTATTTTCCAATTTGATTATTTATCAAACCTCAAATAATAATGATATTTTAACTTATTACATTTAACAATAATTAAAATATATCATTTTGTGTTATTTTATTTTAATTGTTTTTATATTCATTTAAATGATGTTAATCAATTTGGTGTTAATTATTGCTTTCAGTTGTTTTTAGTTTAAAACGGTGTATAAACATTGATATTATGTTTATCAATTTTGTCTTTTCATTTACAACAACAACGATTTTATAAAGGACATAAGTTATATTTATGTTATATCATCACCACTAGACACCAAAACAGTTTTAAACAATAGAATATTTTTTGTTGTACCAAAAATCAATTACATCAAATATGACTAAACAAAAGTCAGTTTAAAAGTAAACATTTTGTTTGAATTTACATTTGAAAACACAAAATACAAATAAATATGTACATGAACTTTGATACTATAGTCACTCTAACAAAGTTATTTGCTTTAAAATTAGCCAGTATCTTTTGGACTAAACTGAGTGGATAATTTATGTAAATTATTTTAAAACCCCATTGAATTCTTTTAGTTTTTCACATTTTTGAGTTTTTACCCAGGTTTCATTATTTTAAACATAAATACGACTATTTAATTAAAATAAGTTAATTTTTCTGAACACACAACGTTTTATACTGACTATAGTCAAAAAATGAAATCATAACCGATGTAATAGCAAAATTTTAGAACGATATTAAAACCAAATAATTTCAATGTGTGAATAATCAACAGTATATTTAAAATCAATTTCAAAATGAATGTAATATTAAACACTTTATCAACTCAATATTTGTATTGATACTTGATTT